CCACCCAGCGGCACACTGGGACTGTTTGAGGTGAGAAACGGTGCTGTCCCATCCACAGCTGGATCTTTTAGGGGTTTCTGTATTTGTATGTACACATTTTCCACCTGCACACAGATGGATGATCAAATAGCTTACCTGATCACTTTAATGAACACGTGTATGACATGTGTGTGTTGTCAGGTGTGCATGGAGTCAGACTGGCCGGTCCCAGACTGTCACGGTGGTCTGTCCACTCTGTCTCCACTGCCGTCCTTGCAGTCGGTGGCGGTGTTGGTGGGGGTGTCTCTGTTGGCGGTGTGGACCAGCGTCCTCTGTCTCTGTCTCTTCAGGTTCTGCAGCGCCGCAACGGTTTACAAGATCTGCGCCTGGCTGCAGCTGACTGCAGGTTAGTCATGTTGATGGGTCATTGAATCCTAAACATTTTGATCACTGTCATGGTGGTTTGTCTGCAGCTAGACGAGAGCAGAACTGCAGCTCATGGTTATTTTTGCATTTGGCTTGATTTACCAGGCTGGAGGTTGCTGCTTGGTCAGACACTAGTTTTATTTTAGAGGACAGTATTTCTGTAGTTCCTCTCTCTGCCTGTAGAGGGCAGCTTTTCAGGATTTTCTTGTCTCTGCAGGTTTCTGTCTGGCGTTGGCGTGTCTTCTGTTTCCTGACTCATGGGAGAGTCAGGAGATGAAAGCTCTGTGCGGAGACTCGGTGAGGATTCTGATTGATCGTTTTGCTTCTGGGTGTTTTATCACACTGATGTCCTTAATCGTGACTCTGTCTCCAGGTGGGCAGCTTCTCTCCAGGTAACTGCTCAGTTCACTGGGCCTACATTCTGGCCATCCTGGGAGTTCTTGATTATGCCATCTTGGCCACACTGGCCTTCGTCCTCGCCAACAGACAGGACGCCCTACTTCCACCAGATACCCAGGAATGTGAGTGTGGGGGTAAGGGGGTAAACTCATCTGACGAGTTAACTTCACAGTTTCATACTAAGACTCTGTTTTCATTGCTGCAGTGACCACAGGTCTGCTGATGACAGCATGAATCAGCAGGTGAGTATCTTCTTTACGTTTTACTAGTCTTCTGTCTTTAAAGCCTCAGATATTTATTTCTTTTTACTCTCTCTTAGGGATGTTCGGTCTTCATTTCTTCAACTCCGCCCGACCTCTTCATCCTCCATCATCATCATCATCTGTTTCTGCATTTCATGGCATGACTGTCTCCTTCAGCTGCAATCGTTCATTGCTGCATGATGTTTCCAGGAGGAGTTGTTTAGTGTTGAACAGAGGAATGTAACAACAGGAGGAAAGAGGCTCTGCGGTGGTGAGTTCGGTGTTCAGGACATTCGGTCGCTGTTCAGTTGAAGAAAAATGGTGAGAAAACGAGCGAGATGGAGTAAATCAAAGGAGAACTATAAGCCCCTTTTAGCCTCCAGTTTTTATCTTCACTCTCACATTAGTGATACCGTCATAACACCTGTGTCAGCAGGCTGGACCCACCTCCAATAGATGCCGTCAGCACAGGTCGTTTGAGTTGCAGGTGATTTTTTTATTTATTTATTTTTTTAACTAACCACTGGGAGCAAAATGAAGTGTTGGTACTGGATGAGCACAGTTAATAGATTACTACATAGTAACATTTCTACACAGTGTGGCAATCAATCAGGACAACTTTAAAGCAGAAACAAATTCGTCCCACGCATTAAATTAAAATATATTTGGGATATTTTGTAGAAAAAACTTAAGTCAGCAAATTGAAGGAAAGTCTTAGATTTCTTTACCGACTTCCTGTTCTGTCAAGCCTTATGTTTAAGACAGTTTAGTAACTGTTTCTGCAGCTTTTAAAATTTACAAAAGTTGTAGAAGAAAGAAAGAAAATCTGCTTTGTAGTTAAAAGTTAAAACTCCAGTTAACAGCCTAGAGTTGATATGTTAAATCTGATATTTTGGGGTGAAACTGTATCCACGCCACTGTCTTTCCATTTGGACAGGCTTTATGTTAATATGAAACTTGTTATACTGTTGCTTTTTGTTTGACTTTTAAGCTACATTAACTAACTAATGGTGTTGAATATTCATGTTAAACATGATGTTGTAAAGGTAATCCCTGTGACTTCCCCGCAGATTTCAAGATGAACGTGTGGCCCAGCACTGATGAGAAGCACAATTGTTAGACAGTATTATTCTACCCTTAAATTTGGTCTTGCTTGGTAGTTAAGTGTCCATGTTTTGTTCGCTGAAGAACGAAGTCCTTTGCAAATCAGTGCCACAAATCTGTGTGCGTGAGCCAAGCGTATTCGCTGTACTATTTAGAGTACTCATTTTTCTCTTAGCTCAACCTTTAGGGACTTGTATGGAGATGGGAATGAGCTAAATAGACCCACTTAAATGTAAAAGTGACGGCAGGTCACTTTGATGGATTTAGGTCTGAAAAGGTTTTAAAAAGGTTAAAGAATAAAAGGAGAGGGCTGCTGTGACAATATGTTAGGTCTGAAGATCAGTGGTCCTATGTTGTATAAAATCATCTTATGTCATTTTTCAGCATTTATTAAGTAAAACATTGTTTTAATCAAAGTGGTTAACCTAGCTTAGCACAAGCACTAGAAGCAAGGGAGACTGTTGGCTAGCATAGCCAGATTTATCTTAAATGTGTCCTAGATAGCAGTAGCTTCTACCACTAATGTATTCAGCATGAATAAAAGTCTTATTTACATTGTATATCATATTATCTAACAGTTTGTCATTAGGAGTCAGAATGAAGTTACCATTAGCTTTATGATATACGCCTATGCTTCCAGCCTGATTTTTAGCTAGGTTAGCTTGCTTTGAGTTAGCTACAAGTTCATTTAGATTTGTGTTAGCTTAAGGTGTTTAAATGAATAAAGTGCTCCTACAGGATTAATAGTACTAGATGGATTGTTAGTATACATTACCCTTCATGTCTAGCTAGCTTCTTTAGTCAACTAAACCTCTTTGATTTCCTTTCTAGCTAACACGCTTAAGCGCTGCATCTGAAATCATCTATTCATTAGGATAAAATCCAAATTATTTACTAACCAACAACTTGTGCAATAACCCTTCAGTCTCAATGTAAATGAGCAGTCGAGGTCAGAAGTTTATATACGCTCATCTGTAATAATTTCTTTGAAATGTTCGTTTCATCAAATGATCATACAGCATACGTCTTTAATGACTGTTAAAACATAAGTTTGAAATATATTATTAGGACCTATTAGCAGCTTAAAGAAGTAAATAAAAGCCCCAAATTACCATGACATTCATGCACACGAGTGTCTATATAAACCTGTAAGAGTTCACTTTGGTAGGCATAAACACACATGTGAATGACATACCGAGTCTGTGTACGGGAGTAGGTTAGAGTTGGGTATGGGATTTCAGATGCAGCGCGGTTCTTTGTGCTAAGCTCAGCTAACCACAGAGATAAAACTGATGGAGAGCATTAGTGTTTGCTGTCAGCATGACCTTTGACCTGTAAGGTACATGAATAAATGTGTTCCCTTCTGTGTTTAAAATGTTTTTGTTGTTAATGAGATTATGCTGTGTCTTTATTAGATTCAGTTTAACTTATTTTTTTCTCCATAGACCAGACATGTGTTTATTGGAAAACAGTTTTTTGGAATGATTCAAAAGTTTTTCTGTTTCAATGTTTTATTAAAATGTAACAAAGCTGTTAAGTGGAATGAGTTATTTCTGTACCCTGGATTTGACTTTTCCCAGAAATGGGAAGTTGAAAATTATGTGAACTGGACCTCCAAAGGTTTGATGAACAAAGTTGGGAAAGACTTAACCTAGCACCCAGTTAATTTACTTACCTGAAACAGAATAATCAAAAAGATGTGCTGTTTGTTTTTAATGATATTATAGCCAAACTGTTTTGTGTACATATTTTAAACAGTTAAGTCAGAATGATTGTTTCATATTTATTAACTTAAATTCAGAGTACTTGGGGTGTGAAGACTGTGATAAAAGTGTCATTTTTTCACACCAATGTGACCCATAATTGATTAAACGAACAAGATTATTATTTTTTTTTATCAAACAAGATCTGCCAACTGCCACCTCAACCTATAAACTCACCAGACGACTGAATAGTGAGGTTAAAGTTTAAAGAAGATGTAGGGTAATTTCCCCATAGACCTCAACACAATCGGACTGTTTTTTGCAAGCAGAGGAGTCTCCCCCTGCTGGCCATTAGAAAAATTACAGGTCCTACACTGTTCTCCCTTTCGACAACCACAGGATACGTCCGTCTTTGGTGGGGACAAAAACAGACAGCAGGCGGCAGTGAAGGTCGACTTTACCGACTTTATTTCTGAGTGTGACATGAATCAAAATTTCACCACAGACAGACGAATCATCACAAGCTGAAGTACAGGAACACAACGAGAACGTATTGATCACATAGCTGATGAGCCATTGCCAAGGTTATTACCACTTTCCACCATCTCTCCATCTTTTTTGACAGAAGGAAGCTCGATTTAATGGCGAACCTGTAACAATGTAACCACATTACAGTAATGAAGAGTCTAACTACAAGCCCCAGAGACCATTGCAGTAGATTATCAGCCAATCGGAGAGCTTGAGAAAGAAGTTTTTCACAAATTTGATTCAGGTGAATTTTTAGATTTTGGTTCATTGAATGTGCTGGAACAATGCCTGCTGAGGCTCATGGGAAATGTAGTGTTTTAAAGAGTCGCACAAACAGAACCGTTTTATCCTTTTCCATCTGTTTGACATTTCTCCTCATTTTTACAACAAACAACCTGATAAATGTTCACGAAAGCAGCAGGAACAAATGAAAAAGATGCACAAATAAAAACCTGAATGACAACGTATACTCTTTTCTCTACTCCTCACTCCCTCATGTACTCCAGAATCTGATCCACCAATATTTGTGGGTCGTAGTTCAGAGCGGCTCTCCTCCGGCGCCTACGACTCCCATGATTCAGTTCCTCTGCGTCGCCTGTTGACGTAGTGTCGATGCGTTTCATCCTCTGCAGCCCGACCACCTGGGGGTGCAGCTTCTCTCCTTGCTCCTCTCCGTCGTAATCCTCCAGCCTCTTCACCCTGAGGAGGGGAGGGTCGTTGCTAGGTGAAGGGGGAGCCAGATCGTCAAGAGAACGGCGGGTTCTTCTGTGGGCGGAGCTAACAGGCTCAGGTGCTTTGGCTGACAGGTCCCTCTTCGCTCTGCGACCAGAGGAGGCGACCGAGGCACCGTTAGGACCGATGCTGGAGAGTATCCCAGCAACCATCCGCCTAAGGAGGGGATAAATGGCCATCTTTAATTTATTATTATTATTGATAATATTATTAAACAAAATAAGTAAGCAATTTATTAATAAATCATACTATTAATTTACATCATAAAATAAAGAGTCGGTGGTTCAGCAGCTGTGGGCACATCATTGGATCATTAAGTTCAGTTTTACATTTTCTAATAAGTATAAAACTGAAACAAGTCAAATGAAGACACATAATTAATAATAACATTTCTGATATTAGTTCCCAAATGGTCTTCAGGGAAGTCAAAGTGTGCCTTTAGATTTCTTGCTTTTTGCTTTGACATGTGTCAAAAAAGAAAAAAGATTGAAAAACACTAAATACATCCTCTGGATTGTCACAGTCAGATCCCTGATGTACTAAAAATAAAAATAAACAATATCTACTAAATTTCATAGAGATTAATATAATTCAGCTCTACGTGCATCATGTTTTAAGTTAGTGTGTGTTTTAGCGAGCAGTGCAGTTTAGGACCAATCTAAACTGGTTCAAAACATACTTAAAAAACAGGAAATACTTCGTATCAATAGGTAACTTCACATCTGAGCAGACAAGTATCACATGTGGAGTTCCCCAAGGTTCCATCTTGGGACCCCTTCTATTTAACATTTACATGCTCCCACTGGCACAGATTATAAAGAACAACAAAATAAACTATCACAGCTATGCAGATGACACACAAGTATATATCACAATGTCACCAGGAGACCGAGGCCCTGTACAGGCTCTTGGTAAATGCA